ATGGAAATGGAAATATATATCTGAGTGGCATATAATAATACAAAAGGGTAGCATCATAATCACATGCAGCACCTTCTTCTCCACTCCACTCTAAAAAGATACGGTGCGCGTGAGTACCATGGTGTTAATGTGGGTCCTCACCAATCTTTGTCATCATCATGCATCACATCACTTTTCATTGAAATAAATGTGACGAGAACAGTTACAATTCCTACACGATATATTTATATATAATTATGTTTAATTTCAACTTGTTTTAAAAATATATAATCAAGATATATTTATATAAATATAAATGAAGATCAAGTGTGCTCATGCACACACGTACATGCGCGCAGATCAAGATCGAGGGCTGTTAGCATTCCATCAAGTGTTATTACATTTATTTATAAATATGTTAAAAATAAAAAATACATGATAGTATAATACAACCTCCACCATATGTCAAAAATAAATAATTCAAAGGAATTATATTTATTTTTATTTGACAGTAAAAAATATCAGTAGACTAGTTTGTACTTCAACCGAGATAGATTTTGTTTTCAACGGCACTCCTGGTATTGCTCTTATGTATTTTGAAGGAACAACTTTCTTTCATGTAGTTTAAAATTCTAAATAATCCAGACCACGTAGGAATTCAAGAAATATAATCAAATGGACTTGAGTTCGTGGCTTCATGGTTATGGGAAAGATTTTTTTTAGTATTTAGGTTTGACTTTTTATGTGTATATTTGATATTTTTTGTGATGTTTTGTTTATTTATTAAGTTTATAAGATATCTAGTAGATTTGAGAATTAGTTGTGATATGTATGAGTTGATTTTAATAAATATAAATATATATATATATATATATATATATATATAATCGAATCTGCACTCCACGTCATGTTGTTATGATTCTTGTCATTGCAATCACCATCTACGTCAACAACACGGGACCCAGGTGAGTCATCTCCTACGTCAAGCAGGGGCAGGCCAGGTCAAAAGCTCCATGGCCTGGAAGATCTGCTTGTGTGATGGCGAAGCTTCATTACATGACAAGTGGGGCACCTGTCGTCTTATTAGAGGTTAATTTTGTTTTTGTTTTTATATTAATCCAACAAATTAAGAATAAAATAGTAATTTAAATCCTTTAAAAAAACCTTGAAAAACATGGTTAATTCGCAAAGTAAAACCATCCTTTTAATACTCATCGGTAAACTTTATTAGTGTTCTTTAATTCAATCTTTTTTCTAATATTAAAGATTTCACTATCAAAACTTTGATAAACTTTCATCATCCCTTTCGTTTTCTTCTTCTTCTTGAAATTTATCTCAACTTATTTTAATTATTTATTTAAAATACTGAAGTTTTCATCTCTGATTTTTACCAAAACTGTACTAATTTGCATACTTTTTTTAATTAAAAAACTGCCCTAATTTTCAAAATAAAATAAAACAAAATTCATCGAAAGCTCCGTAGCATAGAAAATTTGGTTGCGTGATTATCTCAATTTTTAAAGTAATTTGTCCTCATCCAACCAGCTGATTCAACTCACTTTCTCGATGGGCAAGGACCCAATTGCAATATTTTAATATTGTTTAAGGGTCACTCTCATCAAATCTTTGCTGGACTCTTCCTTTTACATGGATTTGGGTGGAAGAATCTATCCTTTCTGGCCAGAAGGACGAAGCGGCAGTAAAGCTTTTTAACATTTTCTTGGTGGGATGAGGTCACTTGCTTCGTTTACCATAAGACTAGAAAGAAATTAATTTTTTTGTTTTGTTTTGTGAGTTGGAAATTAACAGTGAGTCAATGAGACTTAAATGAATTGTTGCAGAGTTCTTCATAGCTCTTTCCTCCCCAAGCATTTTCCATGAAATTGCATCCAGTCTTCTTCTTTTTTCCTTGGATACACACGGACTTTGACCAGATTATATCATGTTTTAGAAAAATCAGATTATTATTATTATTATTATTATTATCTTGATAATGAAAACATAAGATAAAATCTGATGCAGAGACCAGTGAGAACCTCCCTATCACCACCAATAGCAGAACTTCCCTATCACCAAAAGGTCATCTCAGTAGCGTAGCTAGAGACAGCTAATATAGCCAAGCAAAAGCAATGCAAGTTGTCAAATCTTGAGTTTGCCCAACTATGACGGAAGAGGAGGAACACGATCCAGCTCATTGTGCAACTTTTGAGCCCATCATCCACAAAGATACCAGCTCGCAGGATAACTAGCAGCGAAAAGACCTCGACCTACCAAACCCTCCACTCTGCTTGACCTCGTACTGTCATCCAGTAGCTCAGCAAGCAAAGATTAAGATAAACTAGCAGGTAAGACCACCATTGTTACTTAGTGGTCAGAAAGACTACATGACAGGAGGCTCAAGATAAAGACTCCGCAAGACTCTGACCACTAAGGCATGCCGCTTGAACTCTTCATAGCATTAACTTATCAAGGCTGAGCTAAGAGGTCTCTGCCATCAGGCTTGGCGTCTTGATACCACTGTTCAAGGCTTCATTGACAAGCATGGGCATTAGCTTGTCATGTAGTTTCAGGGTTAGTGATACAATTCACCATATGTATTTATTTTTAGTTTTCAGGGCAGTGAAATCGAGAAAGGGAACTAGAAATCTAACAGAGGGGACTCCACAAGCATTACCCATGAGCAAAGTGCTCTGGAGGAGGGAAAATCAACTTCACTCACACACCATAAGCTTCGCAAGTTTAGCTAGGACGTCAATACAAGAATTTCCTTCTCACAGAACATGAGACAACCAAAGTTTCCAATCCTTATCAAGAGTTTTCAAAAGTTACATAAAACAGATTCCGCTGTAGATGAAAGACAGAGGCACAGAGCAGGCATGAGATGCAAGATTAATAACCTCTACAGAACCCAACTCACCCCATAACCGCCTGTAACCCCTCTGCTATGACATGGCCAATTCTACACTCATGTTTGTTGCCAAGCCACCATAACAGGAAAGTCCACATAACCAACCAACAAGGCTATTTTGAAAAGGATCACCATAGTCTGCTTGTACTCAGTATCCAATTCTCCAAATTAGGTCCGTCCACGTTTTTTTGGTTAACACAATTTCTCTACTGCTATTGTTTGACTTACCCTAACTCAGTGCTAAAGTTGCTATTAACATATGCCTATATAATATAGAGACGGCTTATATCTCCTGACTGGTGTTAAATCTGGCATCTCCATCCACTGTTCTTTTCTTTTCTAACTACAATCTATCTAGCACTATTCCTTGACCAATCCTACCTCAATTCTCAATCTCCACTGAGGTGTGATTCTTAAGAACTCTAGGTGTGACTCCTAGAATGTATCTACATCCTTTCTCCTATTCCTTCACAAATTAACACTAATACAGTTCTAACAGCCCTAGAACAGCCTCTAGAAGTCAGATTCAGAACAGCCCCTAGGCTGTCCTGCATCGTTTTGCATTTGAGCTTCAAGATCCCAGGAGCTTTTTGTTGTGTTCTACTTCAACTATGGTGACTGTCAACGAATTGAATCCCAGGTTTGTCGCCATGACGCAAGCAGTTGAAGCAAGACCTAAGTCTACAAATGATACGATGGATGCAATAGAAATATCTATCAATGACAGGTTTGATAGGGTGCAACTAGCATTAGACAGGCTGAGAAAGGTTGTCCTAAGCAAGTATCCTGTTGTCACAGAAACCAAACTTAGCAATGAACTTGAAAAATCGAGGTTTGCAACTAGGGTTGGAAAAAAAAGATCAAGCAACAGATTCTTATTGGCATACTGGAATCTTAGAACAAGGTGCAGAAAATCTTAAACAGCAACATGAGAAGCAAGATCAACAAGCTGAAATCACAAAGTGGCATGCAAAATAGATAGAACAACCTGCTTTTGTTGATAAGAAAAATCTGGCATTGTTTTCCAAAGGGAAGATTCAACAAGAAACAAAGGTATTTCAGATTGGCAATGATGTGGAGAGTGAACAAGAAAAGACATTTTCTAATAAAAAATTGCAAAGGCTAAGGAGTTGTATTTACACTTGATATAGCTGAACAAAAGAAGGAACATGATGAGCACAATGTCAATGAAAACAAGGATGGCAAGGAGAAGTGGTACTGGAAGCACCAATGGTGTTCATTGTTCCGGATTTGATGGTGAAACTGATAGCAAAAACTCACATTATCGTTACTATCACCTCTAAAGAAAGAGTTTCTGGTTCCTATTTCAACCATGTAGTAATGAGGCGAGGATCTTGCTGCAAGTTTTGTGGTTTTTTCCACTTCGACATTTCAAAATCGAGGTCGAGCTTTATCCAACCAAGCAGACAACAAAAAAGCAAGGGTATTTCTGTAATTTCTAGAAAAATTGTCTATGACTAAGCATTTAAGTAGCAGCAAATTAATGCTAGCACATCTTTAGCATTGCACCAAACAAACCATCCAACATTGAAGATAGCTAACTAACTTATAATATCATCATCAATTCTAAAATTCCACTAGATAATCCAGCATCAATTCCCATTTTCTCTTGCCCATCTAAATGTGAAATTTCAGTCCTGTTGGGATGCAAACCCTCTTTGCCCTGCCAACTAGCCAAACTATGACAGAAACCACTATAGATAAAAAGCGAAAAAAATCTACCAGGAATTTTTTTAAATCTAATCCACATAAACTCATTAATGTATACAAATACCTCAACGAAATCAGACAGAAGGACACACAAAAGTGAACACAGAAAGAAGCTTTTATCCAATAAATGAAGCACATAATCTTCTAATTATAATGAAACATCAATCAGTTAAGTTTCTAATGGCGTCAAGACCTTTGCTTTTATTTATAGGGAACCTAAAACCAGGATTCAGAGACACCCAATTGACGTAGCAATCCAATCCCTCTCAAAAACCCCAACAAATTGCATCAAACACGTAGAAATCTCAACTCAATCAACAAACAAAAACCATCAAGGTTCAAAATTTATCTTCCAATCTTTTTCCAATAACACACAATTGACTTCCAATCAATCAAACTTTCACGACAATTTACCAAAAGCAGAACATACAAAATGCGACAAGTCCTCCTACCAATCCAATTATTATTAATCGTCACCACTCAAAGCGATTCAAAACATTACACAGATACCAAATTTCGTGAAAAAATCAAAAAGTTGAAATCTTTAACTGCTAAAATCCCGTTTCTGGTAACGAGCAACCTCACCCTCATTAGCAAAAAACCCCATAAGTCTCCCAGCAGAATTCTGGTAAGCATACATAAAACCACCCATTAAACCAATCAATCCTCCTGTCACCATTGATGGTCCCTTAAGCCCTGGCTTTATCCCTATTAGTAACAAAAACAAAAACAAAAACCCATTTGCATATGAGTAATTTCGACATAAATGAACTAAAAGAAGAGGTAAAGATGTAAAATTTGTACCTGAGAGGTAGCCAACAGTGACAGAGACACCAGTAAGGGTGATGAAACGACAGTAATCAAGGGTGTTGAAATTGCCAACAACCTTAGTGAATGCTGGGTTTCGATCTATTACTGGGTACTCTGGTTTTGCCGATGCTGTTATGTCTGTGTTCATTTTCTGGTCTTGATTTCTTCCCCACCACCCCTTTTTTTTACTTCGATTGAGTTCTTGCTCTATTAGTGTTGGTCAAATCTAAAAATACCTTCCAACTATAGAGGAAGTTTCAATCCTGGCCTCATATATATATATATAAAGAAGTGTTTCAATAGGGAAAACTATATACCGGTATCAAAAACCTGCATCACGGGGTTGAGAGGATAAATTAGTGTTGATTTCAATTTTGTTTTTAATTTAAAATAATTTTATTTTGATAAGAATATTTTTTTTTTAAATTAACAATTTGATAACCGGGTTTTAACTAAACAGAATCCTTATTTTTTCATTTCCAGTTTATCTTTTCTTTTCTTTTCTTTTTTCATAAAAAAAGAAAAAAACTATAGAGAAACTCTAGAATGCGTTTTACAAACCCGATAATGGCTTTTAATCAGTGCTACTAAAGAGACTTAGAGGACTAAAGAAAAATTACATAATAAAAGGGTTTTATAAGTTTTCCATAAAACCCTACAATTACAAATCCATTGAATGGTACTTGCTGTAAAGGCACCTTATTCATTTCCTTTTAACTATATTAAATATTATATTAATAACGTTATCTAGATATTTTAAAGTTAAAATATAATAAAAAGCATAATATAATTTTTCTTAGCAAAGTATCCATAAGGTTATCAATTAGATGCTTTTTCTCAAGTATCATAATTTTGTTCCTTTTCAACCCAAACACATTTGAGAAATATTTAATATGTATCATAGAAAAAATTAAATTGTTATTTTTTCAAGATAATATATTGAATTGGATGCTTGACAAATGGCAATGTTGCCTCTCTTCTTCTTTTTTCGTTTTTTTTCCTTCCTATATTTCTTTGAATTTTGCTTGTTTCCAAACCACTTCAATTAAATCTAGTTCAAAGATATATTATTTGGTAAATTTAGTTTGTCATTTAAAATCATAGATCAAGCCCATATATTCTTACACATCATTAAATATGTTTGCATCATCCTATGATTGTCGTATTATTAATTATGATTATACGGTTAAATATTAAAAATATAATTCTCTAACTTAATGATTGGAATAAATTTATTAGTTGGTCCATGATCTTAGTTCACTCTATAATTTCTCAATTTAAAATTGTAGGATATGATTTTATTTTAGTACTCTATATTAATTAAACCTTCTATTTAAGATTCTAATGTTTATGTGATTATGACCTAATAATCAACAATTATCCATTCTAACGACCTATACTTATAGTTTGGAGCAAGTCGTGCCCAAATATGGAACACCAGCGATGGCATAACACCCATGAAAAAGCTAGCCACGAAAGCAACGATTATTTGTATTTTAAAATGATTTTTTGAGTATTTTTTGTTTTAAAAGAAGTATTAGATTGATAATTTTAATACGAGAATATTGTCACATATATATAGATATAACCAGACAACAGTATTAAATTGGTCTGCCATGCATTCGGAATGTAATAGCCGAACATGCACTCAATTTTTTCTGTTTCGAGAGAGAAAATCTTGCTCGTGGATGTTAACATAATCCAATTTCGGGGTTACGAATTGCAGGGAAGCTTCCAACATACCCAGCAATAGCTGCGAATGTATCAAAGTAATTCAAAGCCATAAAACTATATATTAGAAAGTTTCATAGCCATTGACGAAGGGACCGAGAAAAACCATAGTGTGAAAATTAAGTGGACGTATCGAGTGGGATGGTGTCTTTACTTACCTAAATATTGCATGCATGATCTTTCCCTGTCATTACTTGGAAAGAAGAAGACATGTCAAAGTAGAAACGACAACTTGTAGGCTTTACCAATTGATTTCATGCACATCATCGGCCCCCAAAAAGAAATGGAAACCGGGAAAGTAAATTACACTACAACTTCCTCCTCTGAACACAGCAGCTTCGTCGACACTCTTCTCATTCAGCCATACTTGCTATTTCAGACACAATCACCGACCCTATTTATTAGCCTGACTTCCTTCTTCCATCTCCCTTTCTATTTATACAAACACACACACTGATCACTCACCCCCCTTGACTTCATCATCTACACCACAGCTTGTATTGAAAAATCCCTTCTTCTTCTTCTTGATACTATAATCTTTACTTTCCTGCTGGGAAGAAAGAATCGAGCTAAAAGAAATGACAAGTAGTAGCGAAACAAGTCGGGAGATGGACCCCGAATCTCTAGAGATAGGACTGCTAGGGCCAGCAATTCCAGCGCCAAGGAATGTTTTGCGGTCTGCTATCTTGGTTTTACGAGCAGGGCACGTTTTCTTCTCCAAAGCCTACAACGATAAGAAGGAGACTCTTGATTCTCCAAGAGTCTTGCTGTCATCTCCATCTCACAGGGTATGTGTTTTCCTTGGTTATGCCATTGTTCCATCTCTATACTACTGTTTCTAAAAGCATTATCAAACACATAATACTTGTTTGAGTTGCTAGCACCTACGTTTGGCAACCAAAACCAAAATTAGAACTGACTTGATCGTAAGAATATACCTTCAGAGCTAATTAACCTTTTTTTCTACAGAATTTGGTGGTTGCTGAAATTGAAGAAATCTCACCAACGCATCAAGTATCTCTTGATGCCACTCACAATGATGAGGTCGGCAATGCTACGAGCGATATCAAACTACAACATGAAAACATTGCCAATATAGTAAAGGGACGGGACCTAGATTCCTTGCATGCATTTGGTGGCGTCCGAGGTATTGCAGAGGCTTTTCAGACAGATTTAGAGAATGGAATCACTGGAGAGATTGGAGATCTAAGTCGACGCAGAACCAATACAATCTACAAAACAACGGTCCCTGCAGCAAGAAACTTCTTGGAGTTGCTTATGAAATCCAGCAATAGGCACACCATCTTCCTTCTCATTGTATCAGCAGCGCTGTCCCTTGGCTTCGGGATCACGGAGGAGGGCCCGAGGACTGGTTGGTATGAGGGAGTCCTCATAATTCTAGCAGTCATCATACTTGTGATCGTTCCAGCAGTGCGTGATTTTCTGGGTGAAAATCCAGAGAACCTGTTAGGAGAGCGGAGACAACGGAGAAAAAGTGAGATGGAAGTCAATGTTTTAAGGGGAGGAAAACAGATGAAAGTACCAGCCTTAGATCTTGTGATTGGAGACATAGTATCCTTGGAATGGGGATGCCCTATTCCTGGTGATGGTTTGTTTGTATCTGGTGAATACTTAAAATTGGATGACAGCTTTCCATCCATTGTTAATAAACATAATCCATTTCTCTTCTATGGTTCCAAGGTGACTGAGGGGCAGGGTAAGATGTTGGTGACATCCATGGGACTAAACACAACATTGGGTGAGATGATAAGCAAGGCCAGCAAGAGCAGGCGATTACCAGCTCAGCTCGACAAGGTGCGCAATCACACAGAAATAGCTGGGCTAGTAACCTCTATTCTTATCTTGGTAGTGTTGTTCCTGCGATTTAAAGCTGGAAAGAAAAATGAGGATTCGGGCATGCCAGAAATCAAGGGAGAACATAAGACAAAGGAGGTTATGGAACTTATCAAGAGAATTGTCTGGAAACCGAGCGGGAAAATCAGTACCTTGACAACTTGCCTGACTACTTTCCTGGTAGGGGTGGTAGAAGGAGTGCCATTTTTTATCAGCCTGGCCATTTATTATTGGAATAAAAAGATCCCATCCACCAAGGCTGTCGTGCAAGAACAATTGACAGGTGTTACCATGGGCTTAGTTACAACTATTTGCATTGACAAAACTAGTTGGCTAACAATGAACCCACAGGAAGTTGATGAGTGTTGGATTGATTTGACAGTAATTAGAGAAAACTCTGCAATACCTGAACAAGTTAAGGATGCATTCTGTATTGGTATCAGCACGAGCTCAGGTAACGATCAGGAATCACTGATTTCCTGGTGTGAACGGAAATTCGGGATTAACATGGAGAGTTTGAAGCAAAGTTACACCATTATCGGGATGAAAGAGTTGAGCCCTGGTGACGAAGGGAATGGAGTGTTGGTGAGGGAGAAAGAAGGCAATGAAACCAAGAAATTCCTGTATTGGAAAGGACTGGCACCGAAGATATTGAAAATGTGCTCCCGGCACTACAATAGTGAAGGGAAACTAGTGGACATGGACACAGAGAAAAGGTCGGCTTTTGAGAAAATTATTAAGGGCATGCAGTCCAAGCATCTAAAAACCATTGCCCTTGCTTATAAGACAACAGATGATGAAACTGCTGAGGATGATCGCTTGATATTGATAGGACTTCTGGGTCTGAAGGACAAAATCTGGAAAGAGACTATAGAAGCAGTTGAAGCTTGTAGAAATGCTGGTGTCAACATCATACTTATCTCAGAGGACAGCGAGTCAGTAATAGAAGACATAGCTAAAAAATATGGAATGCTTCGTGGCCCAGGCATATTGGAACATGGAGGGGAAACTTTTCGAAGTTTCAGCGATGAAGAGAGAAAGGATGTGGTCAATGAAATCCGTGTGATGGGAAACTCTCTCCCTTCTGACAAGCTCCTTCTAGTGCGATGTCTGAAACAACAAGGCCACATAGTAGCATTTGTTGGAGTCAGAACAGATGATGCTCCCTCACTCAAAGAAGCAGACGTGGGAGTTGTGACTGGAACTGGGAGTAGTGAGTTGGTCAATAGGAGTTCTGAATTGATCATCGTGGATGGAAATTTAGGCTTCTTGGTATGGATTTTGAAGGGGGGAAGATGTATTTATGGCAACATTCACAAGTATATCCGAGTTGAGGTCACCATAACTATTTCAGGGTTAGTGATAAGCACTGTCACCACAATATTTTTCGGGTATGCTCCAATGACAGGGATTCAGATGATCTGGGTGAACCTGGTAGTGGCTGTCCTTGGTGGGTTGGCTTTATTAACTGAGCCCCCAAGTCAGAAACGGATGCAGAGGCTACCGATCAGACCAACCGAACCTTTCATCACAAAGGCCATGTGGAGGAAGATAATCATACAAGCTTCCTATCAGGTTTCCATTTTGTTAGCCTTTCAGTTCAAAGGGCAAGCTATTCTAAACATCAACGAGGAGGTTAGCAAAGCCATGATCTTCAGTAGCTTTCTTCTCTGCCAACTTTCCAACCAATTCAATGCCAGTGAGCAGAAAATGAAGAATTTAGTCAAGGGTGTCCAACAGAACCTATGGTTTTGGGTGGCCTCAGTTCTGACTGTGGTGTTGCAGGTGGTATTCATTGAGATTTCACATCACATCTTTGGGTTTGCCAGGTTGAATGGTCCCCAGTGGGGCATCTGTTTCCTTATTGGGGCACTTTCATGTGTGACAGATGGGGCTGTCAACATTACCTGGGCTGTCATGAAGGTTAAGCTAAGAAGATCAAGTTCACTCGCTGGATCAGAACATCCACAATCTACAAGCATTCTCGAGCTTCCACTCATTGCTGAGATTTGATCAGCACCGCTTCTTAGTTTTCAGAACTTATTAAGCACCATTTATGCATCATCTTAGCTTCTTTATGTTTTACATTGTTTCCATATTTTCTTGGGCTGTCCATAAATAACTTCTTGTTGTAATGTGCTCAGGATTCTTGTACAGTACCTCATGCCATAGTTACCTAGCAAGCTAGGTCTTAAATTCATTATAACTTGTAAGATCTCATGAGCGTTAGCTTTGAAAATAAATAAATAAAAAATTTAACGTACTGCTTTAGGTGGTCTACTAGGTTTCCCTCGATCTTACAGGTTCAAGATCATGCTAAATCTATCCATGTCTATTGCCATAAAAAAAAAAAAAAAAAAAACCTACCAATTTCAGCACATGAATAATTAACCAAGAACAAAACTTATCTGTTTGTATCATCACAACATTGAGCAATCCGAGGGGTTTATCGTACAGTCGAGCCGAGCTTGAAGTCATGAATCGCCTTCCCTTATCCTCGTGGGCTGCTAACCAAGCTCACGAGTTTCGTTTCAAATGACAGTCATACCGAACAGGCCGCACCAACTGTTCGGAGTTCATCTGATCTGACCTGCGTAGAAAGAGTG